TGGGGTTTCCCAGAATTGGAGATACCTTTTTGGGGATCCCCAGAAGACGGATTATAGTGCCTTAGGGTCTAAATTAGGGTCCCCCTATTTGGAAAGTATCAAAATTTGCTTGATCAAAATTTGCTTGCCCAGCAGACTGGTTTTGAGTACTAACTAGGCTAACTTGGGGCAGGAGCATGAGGCTGTGGTTGGGGAATTTACTGGGTCGCTGCTAAGGAATTTAGATTGAATTGCTCTACTAAAAACTCTTTATTATCTATATACCCATAATATGGTAACTTATTCATTATCTATATACCCATGTTATGGTGATTTAATTCAAGTTCCTTAACAGCAACCCTGCGTAGTTTGGCTCAGGAGGTACCAGGCTGAAGTCTGTCAGGGGACAGGACCGCATGCCTGGGCCTCCGCAAGTTCTGCAAGTGACTTCTGTGGTATTTGGTAGTTTCCCAAAATAAGGGGACCCCAATATAGACCCTAATACACTATAATCCTTATTATAGGGGCCCCAAAAAGGTACCCCTAACTTTGGGAAACCCTCATTTCTGTTGGGGATCTTATGGTCCCCCATATGAGCTGCAGTCTAAACTCCTTAAAGGGTGACTATGTAGGCGAGTATTCTAGGGTTTATGTAAGGGATACACTAGGAGTTTAAGACTATAGCTCATATATGGAGTAAGATTTAATTTTCATTTGGATTATGATGTTTTATAGGAGGAACATAACCTTACTTGGTCCAACCACCAACAAAACGTTACTCAAGTAACATTTGAAGAGACATGACACCCCACCTCAGCAACCCAACTTTTCTGCAACTTCCGACTTTGAACGATTTGACCGAAACATTGAATTCTCCCGTAGCAAGGGCATCTTGGCCACTGTTTGTAATTGTTTGTCGTTGGACTGTGCGATAGTACTGGTATAAGGAAGCTCGTTCAACAATGGAACAGGATCGGTAAAGGCTGAGTGCAGCGATACATGGTCCATTCAGACAAGCGGCCTTCCCTTTTCGAACAGCATGGCAGGCTCCGAGAAATTGAAGCCGGAGTCAACTCCCGTTGGAACCACGCTGCAGGAGAGTTCTGCAAGCCTGGCAGTCCTGACAAGACTTACAGCTCTTTAAGGAGTAATATATAATGACAATAGGAAAAGGAGGCCACCATGTTATAATGAGTTTCTATAAAGGTTGCTGGGATCTAGGATCTAGGATGGAGTGCTGCGATGTTTGCATCAAGACCGCCCAGATCCAACAACAACTCCAGTACTCAGGCCCTAAACCCTAAACAGCAACTCCACTATCCGGCCCCTATGATGGAGCAAACAGCAGGAGCTTACCTGCATCAACCTCTCGCTGTCTACTTTGGGCAAGTGCGTCTCTGCCACTTGGGATGATTGCCCTGATTGAAATCTACACGGGGCGTCGACGGAAGAGATCTTGGGTCATGGGTTGGAATTGCCCCAACTTTTTTGAGCAGTTGCCATGATTTTGGCTCTCTTGATGCCTTCCGAGGCTATAGTTCGCCAGAAGAGGACCCATGTGCCATACAGGGACTCGAAGCTCACTCGACGCTGGGTTCAGATAGTCAGATTTTGGAGATAGGCTTTATCATCACAATCCCCCAGCCCTAAAGTCTACACCTTGACCGGGACGCCAGTTCAGGATGATGTACTTTCACTAGGCAGCGAAGTACATTCTAAGTCCACAAACGTGTGTTTAAATGTTGCCATATGCATGTAGTACTGTGTGTGTACATATATATATACACATTCCATACGCATCTACATTTTTTTTGAGTGCATGACCAGAGCTTGAGTGTTATCACATATGCAGTGCAAACCTGACTGGGCGACATTCGAGAGCTGGAAAAGAACGGATCTAGCAACTTGAGCACGTAGGGACCCTTACCGGGGGGCCTGATAGTGTATTGGGGGCTTAATATGGGAAATGCTCAGGAATATAGGGGTGACATATATATATATATATGTGTGTGTGTATACATACACATGTACATATATATATATGTATATGTGTGGACTATATGTATGAGGCTGATATATGCAAGTGGGATTACGGGCCCCTACAAGCGATCCCTCCTAGGAACTCTTAACGACAGCAAGGTCTCCTTCAAGATGCGTTGAGCGGGCAGTCTCTGGCAGCCATGTTCCTCAGCTCAAAAGCCTCGATATCCGAATAGCCCAAGCTGGGAAGTATTCATCGACTATTATGGACTTTAGGGCCCAATGTTGGTATGATTTATGGACTTGGGTCCTTTCGGCCCTAGGGCAGGTGTGAAGCTGAGTGTCGGGCTCCATACGTCGAGACTTTCAGGGAATCCGTTTGGTTTCAGCGGTTGCCAGCGGCAGAGGTAAGGGTGGGACTTCTCTTTGAAACCTTGAACCCCACATCCAGGCTTCTGAAATCCTACACGGTCTAGTGCCTGTAGTTTGCCAAGGGAGGCATGGTCCTTTTGTGCCTTACATTTATGGTCAAGTGTGTTCTGTTCATGCGGAAGGACTACACCCAGAAGAAAGTGCTGGGTCGAGTGTACCTTGTCCACCTCGTTGATGGCATTTCCTCAGGTTTTGTGTGTCCACACGTGCGTCCTGTGTCATGCTGACTTTGACGGGCAACATCTACAAACTCAACCTTCTCAAGGCTCCTTCCAGGTTTTTAGTGTTTGGCAGGGGCAAGGCTATGCGAGGCTGAAGCTAATTGACCAAGCAACCCCAAACCGAAAAGGCCTAAGCTATCGCAACTGGCCCAAATGGTGTACTTAATAAACATCAATTTGAAAGCCCTAAACACCTCCAAATGCTAATTGGCAACCAAGCCCGACCGCAAAACCCTCAAGGAAGGAGCCCTAGACCCTAAACAAGCCCAAACCCCGATTGAATTTCTGGCCATCCTCAAGGTCCTAAATCGTAAAGAGGGTGCTACTCTGGCATGGACTCTTCTGACTCTTCCTTACCAGCCACCATGCCATAAGGTGCAAAAACGTGAAGAGGGTGTTGCCTTTGGATGGACAAGTCGCACTGGACAGACAAAACGCACTCGATCCCACTATGGTAATGGCTTGTGTTTAGCGTGTTCTTGCGTAGACCAGTGAGAGTCTCGAAGAGAGCACTGGACTATTCGTGGGAATAATTGAAAATTTTCATAGAGGGTGACCCTTATAACATCTTCTTAAACGCCAGAAGCAGTTATATTTTACAGCGCGTAAGTGGATCTATGCCAGAGCATTTCGCATCCGTGGACTGACTATCCGTGTCAGCCCAGGATTGTTTGCATCTCGCCGCTCATGTCTTCGCTTGAGGCCAGGAGACTAGTCCTAGCTCTGTTGGCAGTTCACATGGCTGGGTTTCGGCTGAATGGATCATTTCCAGGTTCGAGCTTTTAAGACTGCTTGTGCCGTTCTGGAATAATTTGACCTGGTTGGTCAACTCTTGTGTCAGGAGACATTGAGCTCGCTGAAGTTCGCAGACCGAGCAAAGCAGGCAGTGCCTGGGAAGATGGAAGTCATGTCCAGAGATCAAAGCAAAAGAGGTGCCAGTCCAGTGACGTCACTAAAGTGTTGTTCTGAGCCTATGCAAGCTTTAGTACATTTTACTACAACCTTCTGGCGCAGTCACAGTCAAAAACTCAAAAACCCAGGTGCTGGAGCATTTTTCTCCCGGCTCCGCGTCGCCGTCGCCCGTTGCCACCAGCACCGCCTCAAGCCTGGCCATGGCCCGGCGCGTGGAGGCTGCGATTTTCTTTCAGCATGCACAGGCGCTGGAGTATTGGGGTTATAACATTGGGGTAATATTGGAGTCATATTGGGATAGTGGAAATGAAAATGGAAGCTACTGTTCAGGGTTTAGGTTGAGGACCGATGCAGCTGATGTTTCATTGGCGGGAGCATGAGCATGGTCAAGGCTGCAGTGTGGCAGAGGCGTTTGCGCACTTGGCTGTTGCATGGGCTGATTTGTTAGCAGCCTATATGCAGGTTCCGAAGAAGGTATCCGGGGTAGTCCAGGGAATAGTTGTTACTCATCATGGACCATCATCCGTCATATTTCCTTAGAATTTCAGTACCAATAAATAGGGCCTTAAACTCTGTCCCAGCATAGTTGGCCCACAGGAGCTGCAGGCAAGAGTGCAGGAGTTGTCCGTAGAGCTGCAGAACGAGCGGTCACAGCGGCAGCGACTGGAGCTGCTGCTGCAAAGCTCCTTGGACGATTATTTGGTCTAGGGACCAGAAAGAATGGAAAAAGCACCGGAAACTACTAGGGCTTCAGGGTTCAGGAGATGGACATGACAATGGAAATTATGGTGGTGGAAAATCAAACGGAGAACAAGATGAAGCATGAAATGGAGAGTAGTGTAGATTACTGTGATAGCTTCTTGGAGGATGTTATCATTAATTGTTATCATTCACATTTTCACTGTTACCTTTATTACCCTTAGTACTATTACTTTTCCTACAATCATATGGGTATTAACACTGTACTATTAATGTTATCAGACAGAATGAGTAAGTATAAGGGTCCAAAGGATCGAGCCAGGGACCGTTGGTGCAAGCATCCGCAGATGAGCCAGAGTGAAAAAAACCCTTAAAGGCGGCTATATAGGGGATGATATAGGGGACTATTATAGAGGTTATGGGATACTAGGAGTTTAGACCTTAAACCTTAAATCCTCAACCCTAAACCCCAGAATTTATCAAGGGTGATACTAGGAGTTTGGACCCCAAACCCTAAACCCTCGGGATGATTAAGGGGGATGTGGGAGTTTAGACCCTAAACCCTACTAAACCCTGGGAGTTATTTTGGGGGATAACAGGAGTTCAGCTTATGGTTCAGATGAAGCCGAAGACTTGGTGACCCCAAGGCCGGCCGCCCGAAGAGAAGCCTCGGAGGCTGGGAGTTTGAAAGTAGGGTTTAAGGTCAAGGGTGTTTTTTAGGGTTTAAGGTTTAGGGTGTTTGGGGTTTAGGGTTTTTAGGGTTTAGGGTTTAAGGCTTAGGCTCTTTTCAGGCCTATGGCCTTGCTTCAACCGAGGTCCAAAGGCCAAAGCTTAGCCTTGCCGATATCTGCACGTCAGAGCTTCGAGCCGCGACGGCGTAGCTCAAGCTCCAAGCTGAAGTGGGACATCGCGAGCCGGAAGCAGAAAGGGTTCTTTAGGGACTAATGTAGGGACTTTATGTGATATGGTAAGAAAGGCAAAGGTAATGGGAACTACAATTTAGTGTTTAGGGTCTAGAGTTGGATATAGGATGAACTGAGGGCAAAGGGTGTTCAGGGCTACGTGCCTGCATTCCTGCGTATGAAGCTCTGGCGGCAGCCCAGGTGAAGCACCTTGCTACTCAGGATGTAGATCTGCTGACAACAGCTCTGGGTCTGGGAGAAGAGGACCGGGTGCCGCAGGCGCGATGGAGGTGTCTGCGCTGAGCCACGAATTCTTCCATGTGAGAAGTCTCAGAGTCTTGTCACAGGCACGAAGGGACATGGACTCCATGCACAGCTCAAGCTCTTCTGCCAGCGAGCTCGATGTGCCGGAGGTGCAGGAGGTGCCGTTGGACGGTTTAGGGCCCATGCCCCGGAGCTCGGAGAAGTTCCGAGCACGAGGGAAGCATGTGCTGGCCTACCTGCAACGGCTGGCGCAGCAAAATGCAGAACTGCAGGCACGCATGGAAGCCTTGGAGGGCAGACACTGGGATATTCCTGGGAATTTTCGACTTATTTTGGACAGTGATCTCGACGTATTTCCTATGAAGCTATGGGAATTAAGTTTTTCTGGTGATTAAATCAATCCCAGGACAAGAGAAGCCTGCCCGAGCCGCGTCCCTTGGGCCCGAAGGCTCAGTGAGGCGAAGACCTGGCGAGGAGCTCAGCCCCACGCCGCTCCCTCGAGATCCCGAGGGCTTGGAGCTACAAAGCACGTCGCAGAAGCTTGGCCATGTTTGGAAGCTTTGGTCCAGGTTAGGCAAACTCGCAATAAGTGTGTATGAGAGCTGTTTGACCCAAACAAACCTAAATCAAGTTGAGGAAGGAGTTCTGCTTCGAGGCCTCGCCTCAAAGGGGTTCGAAGGAGACTTCTCCAAACCTGGGCTCCTGCTCACCAGCTTGCAGTGCCGAGATGCTGAGCTGCAGAGGTGACTGTGTTGTCTGGCAATCGCATCCGGGTTCAGTTGCCTGAGCTGCTGACACAGCGCTGAGGACTTGTACGCCAGTGCCATCGCCCGCCTCATTGGAGCAGCGCCGGGAGCTGTTAAGGAAGGCTTGCTGAAGATGTTGTGCAGCGGAGCGCATATAATGCAGTGATTGCAGACGGAAGCAATGGATACTTCATTAGGCAATCATTAGGTGCTTGAAAATTGATGCTGTACCTCTTTGTCCCGCAAGGCCCGGGACGACAACGCAAGGGTCCGTGCCGAACTGCGGCAGCAGGACGCTCCCCGCATCCTGTTGGGTTCTTTTCATTCAAAAATTGCAGCATTTCGGAAAGCACGCTCGTAAATACACTTGTAGAAGGAATTCTCGTGCTTAGCTTTGAACATCTCACGATGAACAAGTGTAGAGACTTGGGTAGCAGTTATGGTTCTGTCTTGCGAGATTGCTGGCTGTAGGGTACGTCTGATGACTTCTAATGATTCTGTGATAGCTCAGTGGTTGCCAGACCCGTCAGCAGCGTCTCCACTTTACACTGGTTTCTGCTCACTCTGTGTTAAGCATGGTTCATGTCGGGTTGAGTAAGTTGGTTAGGTAAGGCATTGCCCAGTCACCCCCCGTCATCCCTAAATACATCCGCATACACTTTACCATCGCGATTTGCCAAAGACGCGGAATCTTTTAAGCAAGGCGAAGTTACCTTTGTTCAATATCCTTTGCAGGGTTTTCGGGACTTGGTTGCTTTAGCGTACCATCTTCCCAAGGGGTAACAGCCGCCACAGGAACTAACGACAATAACTGCAAGATGCACAAGTCATCCCAGCACATTTTACAAGGTTCATGCAGTGCACCAGTTTGGGCAGGTCTCATCAGGGAGCAGGGTTTCCTGCTGCAACTTTGAAGACTTGCATTGTATCGCGCGTAATTGCCCTCCAGGAAGAAAACTGCATGAGCTTTGAGCCATGGATTTTCGGAACGTTGATATTAAAAGCTGTTGTGGGCTTGCCCTGATCAGGCAACTAGTGCCACTGACATTCCTGGCGGCAAGCACTGTCTGGCACATAGTTAACTCGGTTTGAGCCACCGGTTTATTTCTCTCGGTGGCAAAGCTTCGGAGAGCGGGCACTTTGTGGCGGACCTGTAGAGCCTGAGGCTGGAGTGGCGCTGTGCTCGCAAATTACGCAAATTAGCGAGTACCAATCTTTGAGAGAAGACGTGAAAGGGAGGAACGACAAGAAACTGACAGCCACTCACCCTTCCTTGTGAAATTGAAGTCTTTTTGCAAACGTTTGGCTACGGTGTGGAAGGCAACATCACACAGCCCAGGCCCCAAATTGAGAGAGCATTTGTTTTGATTCTTGGGGTTTAGGGCTTAGAGGTCAGGGTGTAAGGGTTGAGGTTTATTGCTTAAGTATTGTGCAACCTATATGTAGAGGAGACCAAACAGGAGGAGGCTGAACAGGAAGAAATGGAAGAGGTCCTCCTATATTCCAATTATGGCGTTACTACAGGGTGGGGGGCAACCAAAGATCAAAGGGTTTTTGACGATGGTTACGTGCTTACCCCCAACGTGATGTTTATTGGGGACTGTGATTTTCAAATTGCTGCTTGCCAGAAATCTTGGATAGCGGCAATTTCCAATGGAACCCCAACATAGGCCCTAGACCCCAAGATATTATGATCCTTATTATAGGGAACCCCCAAAGAGGCACTGCTAATTTTTGAACTGCCTAAACACTACCAAATCCTTATATAACTTCTATACAAGGAACCCTTAACTTCGGGAAACCCCCACCTAGAGCTCAACCCGAAGGACAACCTTGACAAGGGCCACTACAGCGACTGCGACCCGTTGCATTCCGAGGTCAAGAAGTTGCAGGAGCTGGAAAATGGGGAAAGAAAGAACAAGTCTTACCGTCATACCTGTAAGTCTTCATATATGCAAAAATATGTGTATATATATATATGTGTGTGTGCTTATATACGGCGTACAACCAGACACACATACATGTATAGGTACAGACATATACACGTGCATATACATGTACATGTGAAGCCATATTTATGTCAGAAAACATGTCCACATACACACTTGGAACCGAAACACAGGCAAACATAGTCGTTGCCAAGCAACCATGAGATTAAGGTCCTACATGAGAAGTGGCCGTTTGGGGAGCAGCCCAGTTATTTCTTGTTGTTTGGGTTCCCATATGCATGAATGCAACATTCCCCTACGAGCACATCATGCTGCAGGATGACCCCAGACATTTGCATGTTTTCAAAATGAAGCTAGCCGCAGTAACCGCACGGGCTGTGAACGCAAGAGTGCAGGATCCATAGCTTGCCAAACGTGAAGGCGAAGGGACAGATACCCAACGGATCCACGGACAACTATGTTGCAATTTGCCGGCACACGCCGTCTCCGTTTAAGGGAGGTCGTCCAAACGCTATGTGTTGCAGTGTTTGGGCTTGTTATTGGTCGTTCTGCGCCGACGTGGACCTTAGCAGGGCATCGCACACAGCGCTGAATCCCAATCTGGCCTCTTGGAATTCTAAGTCTTCTTTGGTTCTAACGTCCAGCCAACCGATAATTCCAAAATTGATACCCAACCGATAGCCGGAGGCCGGCTTAGAAAACACCCAGTGCAATCCAGGCTACTTCAGTCTTGTGGTCGTGCCGTCATTGGGCTGCTTCATCAAGCTTGCGCTCAGAGCAAGTTTAGGCTAAAGCTGAACATATCACCTCAAACTCCAAACAAAACACGAAACCCAACCATCTGGAGCCTCTGAAGCATGCGCTTGCATGCGCAATATTTCGCGTGTACTTCAGGATTTGTTTTTCAAACGGGGATTTTGCATCCACTCATATGTGGCTGCAGGGATTTTCACGCAACCTGATTTTGGCCTTCCCTTTGCCAGCAACGCCCTGCATATGTCCAAGATAAAAACAACAAGCTCAGAAAACTCTACAGCTCTAAAAGTTTGCGGGCAGTCACCTAAAGCCCTCAGCCTTCACTTGAACGCACGCGAAGCCTTGTGAACCCTGGGATTGCGAGTTCAGGTCACTTCCGTAAAACCTGATTTGCGAAGAATTCAAAAAATTCGCTAGAGGTCTTAAAGCTTGCCGACCTGTGTTTTCGGGCAGCTTCGTGCCGAGTATACTGTGGCTGGCTCCCGAACCCCCAGTGCTGTGAGAATTTTAGGCATACTCGATTTTCGTGCAATCGTGTCTTGGAAGGACAGTCGCTCACTTCCGCTTAGAGTCAGTTGCCTGACCCCATCATGCAAATGCAGTGTCTCATATGTGGCGCCCGCATGGCTAACGTTGAGCTTAACGCTAAAACAGAATTCCTGCTGCTGCTGCTGCTGCTGCTGCTGCTGCGGCGCCTCAGAAGCATGCTGCCAGTCTCCGAGACCAATACTTGCATTGTGCCTGTACATATATACATATATACATATATTAGTATGAAACTATTTATATATGTATATATATATATATCTGATATATCGTGAATGTACAGAACAACAGCAAGGTAGGCAAGGCGCCTGTAGCAGTCTGTGCAAAGAATGGTATAGCGGCATGGAGCGGAGTCACATCAGGCATCTGGCCGTACAGCTAAGCAAAACACACCCTTGTTGCAGCTGTGACTTGCAACATGTCCTTTATCAAAGCTGTTTGAAGCTTCTCTCAGAAACAACTGATAAAGCGAAACCTCAACGGGGCGGGAAAAAGAGGTCCAGAACTCCCATTTGCAAGCACTTGCTTGTGTGTTTCTTCCAGCCTTCGTTTTCCGCCAGGAGGCTCGCAAGCTTCTGCGGCATAGACCTGAGTGACGCAACATCAAAAAGGATGTGGTTGCGAGACCTCACGGAGCTTGCCCAAGAGCCTGCAGCACTCATTTGTCACAAGAGCAGAGCTATGACCGCCTTTGCTTGTGGGATGTTAGTGATTTTTGGAGTACAGTTCATGGACTCCCCAGTGTCACCCTGCCATTTTCGACAACCCCTGCCCTGTCTCCGATTTTTTGTTGTTTAAGCTGGCTGAATTCCCTGTTCAGATGAAGAATCATAAGCTCCAAACTGTGTAGATCAAGCGGTTGATCCAAAATTCTTTCCGCGTGGATTAATCTGCAACCGCATCTCACTCCGAAGAAATTTCCTTGCATGAGCATGTAGATCTGCACAAAGCATGACAAGCACTTACTGGGAGATTCCTGGATACTTTTTGAGAATCATGCACTTTAATCTCCAAATGTTCCATTTCTGCCATAAGAATTGTGTTTTTATGGGGTGCTACATCATTCTAGCCCCAATGTAACCCCTATATAACCCTTGTATTATCCCAATATAACCCCTATATAAGCCCCATATAACATTTATATAACCCCTATACCCCCCCTATGTTATCCCAAGATTATCCCAAGAATAAAGCAGATCCCAGTCTTCCGCAGAGGTGCAGCAGCGAGGGAGGCGCCGCGCCGAGCTGCCGAGGCTGCTTCAGTGGGGTTAGCCTTGGGTTCTCTGGGAATATTATGGTGTATTGTAGTATTTTATATAGGGGTTTTATAGGGATGATGGAAAATGAAATGGAAACTACTGTTTAGGGTTTATGTTGGGGTTCTCTGGGATGATGTAAGGTTGTGTATGTATGAAATTTGTATGGCCTGTATGAGGATTCCATCGGGTGCTAATCTTGCGCAGTCCCGAATTTCAGTCTTCGCGTTTGCATGGATTCATGGCCTCAGCGGTTCAAGCTTATGGTGCTGACGGGGGAACGCTGGGCCCACAGGATGGTTCTAGTGAGAGGGGGAGCTTGCCAGCCCCGTACCCTCGGGTGCCCGAGGGACAGACAGTTGATGCTGGCTTTAGGTTCAATGAACTTCTTCTGCAATACAGTAGCTTGTCACGTGTGCACATCAGTTGGTGCTGTCGCAGAGCTGTGGCTGAAGCGCACTGCTATCAGAAGAAGCGTAGTTTCTGCTGTCCTGAGTTCAAGTCAAATTTGAATTGTGAACCGGGGCCCGACAAAGCTACACCTGCAAGCCAAGCCGGCAACGCTATGGTTACAACGCCTGAAGCAAGTTCGGCAAGAGCCATGCTGTTGCCTAGACTGGGAGTATCTTCTACAAGCACGGGTGATTTGGAAATGGTTGCTGCCGCACGGGCGTCGCAAGGTTTGCGTTGAGAAGCTGCAGCAGCTGCAGTTGCAGCAGCCGGCCCGTGGCGCTGGCGTCTCAGTGTGGTGTTCTCATGTTAGACGAGGACATCCAGTATATAGTTTAAGACTTCAGAGGTCCGCACTGGCTCGTTGTTGGAAAGCATTTGTTTGGCACCTTCAGCCCGCAGTATTGAAGTTGAATTTTCAGCGCAAAGTGTGCTGTGTGCTCATCCGTGACGCCTTGGCTGCCAATCATGAAAGCAAGAATTCTGCAGCCTTCCGAGAGCTCTGAATGCCTTCTGCAGGAGTCATGCGGGTTCGGGTGGGTTGATGCGCTCTGTTTTGGGTGTTCCTCATGAAGTACCTAGTGGCTAAGCTGATTGAAGCTTCAAATCAGTGGTCGGTCTTGGGTTCAACCAAAGCTGCATCTCCAGACATAGTATAGAGCACAATATACCATACTCCTTTTTATGGAGACGCCCACCACAGTACCCCTCATTTTTTGGCAACCTTTATTTGATTGGTTACGCCAGACGTGTTCCGAAACTGCACAAAACCGCAAAAGCCATTCCAGCCCTGGTCCTGTGCTGCCTCTCCAGTTTTCTGAGATCTATGGCCATAGGTGCTTGAAAACACAGGTGGCGAAGCAAGAGCCTTGTGACCCTCACAGGATCTGTTTGGCGTGTCGCTTGTGATAAAGACTGCCCAAAGTCAAGACAGGTCAAGAGACAAGTCAAGTCTGATATCACAGGCCAGCCAAGTGCAGGGACATCCGGGAGCCGAGGTGCCCTGATGCGAGTTATGGGGATACTGGGCTTGGTTTGTTTGTCTTGAGGATGTTGCCACAGATACAAGTAGGTTGGGGTGGGGCTGCGAGAGTGTCTTGGCTACACAACAACGCCAGGCTTGCAAAATTCAGTTGAGCCCAAGTCGTTAAAGTGGCTTAAAGATCTTCTCGGATGGTGGTCCTCAAGGACCAATTCCCTGTTGGAGTCGCGTGAGATTTTCAGAGCATCTCTGTGTTACGAGATACTGTTGCCTTGCCTCCAATAGCACCTGAGCCTAATTGTAAGCATAAGTTCATGTACAAGGGAGTGCGCCAAAAGACCGAATGACTGATACACATCCAGCATTTGCCCCGCCTTACAGAAGTGTCATGAAGTCTCCCCACTCCAGCAGCTTGAGAAGGGGCCTTGGATGATATGGACGTCTTGTCCAGGTTAAGATTTGACCTGGACGTAGGCACCTTCCATCTGCGGCACTCATTGAAAAACAGCTTGGATCTCTTGTCTGCTACCCAGCATTTCTTGAAATCGAGTCCCCAGAGTTTCCAATCGGGGGGCTCCAATATAGACCCCAATAAGTTAGAATTTTGATTATAGGCAGCCCCCCCAAAAAGGACCACTAATTTGAAGAACTCCTCCGATCCCGATAAACCTCAATATAATCCCAGCTTCCATGTTATTGTCAATTTTCTTTTCCATTTGAATTCTTCACTATTCAGGTAATAAACCCTAGACCCTGAACCCCAAACCTCAACAGTAGTTTGCATGTTCTTTCCACCATTCCCATACAACCCTTGCATATGCTTCCATAACCATTTAAGAGGCCTATGCATAACCCTAATCAACACAAAACCCTAAAAAATCCAAACCCGAAAACCTTAAAACCCTGCAACTCCCGCTGTTGTGCTTGAAGTGGGTTGCCTCCAGGTTCGAGCGCGACAGCTGCTGGATGCTTTGTCCTCGCCACAGCTGCGTTTAGGGTTTTAGGGTTTAAGGGTTTCAGGGTTTAGGGTTTTAGAGTTCTAGGGTTTAGTGGTTTAGGGTTCAGGGTTTCAGAGTTCTAGGGTTTAGGGTTCAGGGTTTTAGGGTTTTAGGGCTTAGGGTTTTAGGGTTCTAGGGTTGTAGGTGTTTAGGGTTGTAGGGTTTCAGGGTTTTATGGTCTTAGGGTTTAGAGTCTAGGGTTTTAGGGTTTGGCATTTTAGGGTAGTAGGGCTCAGGGTTTTAGGGTTTCAGGATTTGGGGTTTTGGGGTTCAGTGAACCAGGCTGACTGGATACATAGTTACATAGGGTTTGAAGGAAACATACATGTATATATATATATATATAAAATCGACTATGCACGGCTTAGGGTTGAAGTATATGAGTCGCGGTCAAAATTA